TTTCCCCCCCAATACGCCATCCCTGTTTGTCTAACTGTGCTTCCCCTCGAATTGAGCAGGGGAGATAAACATCCATTTATGTTTAGAATAAGAAAAATGAAAATAATTTCTAGTTATATTTTAAGGGCAAAAATCCTCATCCCATTTACAGATTATCTTATCTAGCTGCTCAGATTAAGACAAGGAAATGTTCACTTATTTTTCTATTGTTTTTGTTCTGAATGTGCTGCGAAATCTGGAAGGTCCACATCATCGGGACAAATATCAATGCAAGATTTTGAAATGTGAAAAACTCTGAGGGAATAAATGGAAGTTTTAGAAGAAACAACTCCTGCTTAGAAAAAGTATGATGAAAAAAGCTGGGGACCACCAATAATTACATCTGATTACTTTACTTCATATTTATTTGTACATATAAAGTTAATATTATTTATATTCTGCTTAAAATTTGTTTATTTCCAAAATCTAAAGATTAAATGTATTATTTTAAATGAATGGTGATTTAATGAAACATTTAATAATTTAATGCTGATTTCATTTATTTGAATAATTTTTTAGATAATTATAGTTGTTACTCCTCCTTCAAAATTACCCCACTTGCCTTGGCTGGCCCCCTACAATTCCTTTTTAAAGTTGTAGAGAAGTCATATTTAAATGTCAAATCATTCCGGCTCAAACATTTATCTAAATGTACTCTTTATCAGACGATATTGTCCCCAAATTTAGAAAATTTCTGCTTAAAAAAAAAAGATCCTGTCTTAAAATCTATGTTGTTTATTTTCGGTATCTTCTGAAGGCCAGTTAGTTCTACGTCAGCCTGAACACCTAAATTCGGCCAATCGTATCTCAACGGTCTTCTGTCAATCAAAATTTTTTCGGTCATAGCATCTTGATTCATATGTTGCAGCTAATATACGCAACGGTTGAAATCAGAAATGAGAATCATTTACTTTTTCCATTGAGTTCCGTCCCAGTGTTCACGGGGATGGACGTCTGTGTCTTCAGCAGGCGTAGAGCTAACAGAACTGGCAGCGTTGCGAGGCAAGGGCTCAAATATGTACGGCTGGAAGCCTTCTACACCAAACCAAGCTTCTGCCGCCCTGGCGTCCTCTTCTACAACATCTTCGTCCCCGCTTTTCTCCTCTAAATAAAAAATGGATGACGGAGGAGACTCATCCACGACCTCCGACACTAAACTCTCCTCCTCTTGCATGTTTCCGCTGTCCATAGCGTTCCTTGACAGCGTCGTTTCTAAGTCACCAATTTAGTGCTACTTGGTCCCAATGGAATTTCCCATTGGGAACCTACTAGCAATAAGTTGCTAACAGGTTAGCAACGATGCTTCTGACAAACCAGCCACAACCAAACTTGCTTACGAACCTTCCCCCAGAACAATCCCGCCCCCTTGATGAACGACCAATAAAGTCGGGCACCTTTTGGGAGAATTCAGAAATGCAAAGCTTAAGACTTAAAACATCAGTCTTTGTGCTAAAATATTCATTCTTTCATTATTTGTGGACACCAAGATCTAAAGAGATGCGTCATCTCCTGGTCAGACACTGTAATTCAGTGAAAGGGTGGAGTGTGTAAGATGGGGGTCTCTCCAGTGGCTGGAAGTTGGAGGGGATTCTGCTGGGAGTTGGAGGGGAGTTGGCTGCCATTGGGCTGGTGTTTGACTGGGAAGGGCGATTTTGAATCGCTGGTACTTTAGGAAAATACATTTAAAATGCTTAATTTAATAATTACGTTGCATTCTAATAAATACAGCTATACGCATTTTCAGGGGGTAGTCGGTCCATTCCATCGTTCTTGATTGGAATTAGAATAAAGTAGGAAATCGAAATAAAACAGTGTGTTAATATTGATGGTTTTATTGCATCCCAGAGGGAAATAAAGCAGCAGACTGGCCGTCCATTTGTCTACTGTCTAATCTAGGCCTCAGTGTGTGACCTACCTACGAGACGAGGTGGGTCACACCTCGCCTCGCCGTCTTCCTGTCTGTCGCTGAGTTGGCGCCATGAATGGAGAGCAGTTATTTTAGTGTCTGTTCTGTTTTCATTACTGCGTCTCTGCTGGGAGACAAACTAATGAGTCCTAGCTCTCTGTCTGCTTCATCACAACTTTTCTGCGTCACCTTCAGACGTTTCTCCGTGCTCGATCACAGTGGGTGCTCCACATGCCGTCGCTCAGGAAGGAGCAGCTCTCAGGTGCTGCTTTCCTTCACAAAGTGGCGCTTGCTGCTATGGAAATAAGTTACATTTAGGACATTAGAGGAAATTGTGTTCACCATTAAAGCTGGGAACTAACTATGAAATCAGATCTTTGTCCAAAATCTCAACCTTTAGATAAATGGTTAGGATGAGAGGAATGTTTAGGGGAATCAGAGCCACAAAGCGGACATAAGAAACTAAACCATAATGAGACATTAAGCCCCTGAACATCTGGAACAAACAAACAACAGCAGCTGGCTGAATGCGCCACGTTCTCGGCTTTCCAAGCAGATGCTACGAAGGGAACATCTGCTTTCCTTGTATCTGTGTTTGGGTGATCGGTTGGTATGAAAGAAAAAACTCCTGTTAAGCAGATTCCCTAAGAACATCTTGATCACATTTTTATGAATAGACAGAAGTAAAGATCAGGGCTGTATATTCCTATCCAGTCGATGTGAACATAAACTGAAAATCTGCCGAAAATCTGTCTGGCAGGAAAACGATTCTGCTCTTTAGTGTCCATGATGCCTGAGACATGATGAGCATGGTATTAGCTTAATTCTTGGTGTTTAGTGACTGACTGAGCAACAGATCAGCGAGCGGGCCGCCTGCGACATGCTTACAGCTCCGAGGGTCTAATTTAGGGTCGGTGACAAACAGAATCAGCCCAGAAATGTTCTGAATCAGAAAGCTGTCATCCCTTTAACCATTAATCATTTGTCCCGATTGCCTTCTAAGATTGCCTTTTGCTCTGGTTCTGCTAAAGGATGCTGATTTGGATTAAGGTGAACAGAGTTAATGTCCCATCAGCATCCTGAACAAGTTGGTCAGAGGCTGCAATCATCAAGAGTTCTCCAGATCCTTGTCGGAGTCGGCAGTGGAGCCTAAAATTCCCAAAACATTTTCCTTTAAATGGATCCATGACTAGTTGAACATATTGGCTAAAATAAGTCGTCATTTTTCTATTACCTAAAACATTGATCTTTGTGATATATTAAAAAAAATTACTACCAAAATATATATATTTTTTGTTATATGTTTCACGCATGGAGGTCACCATTTTTTCCCTGTGCAATGCATGCTGGGTAGATGATGGGGTTTGGTGATACTGGACTGGAAAGCTAAGAATAGCACAGCTGATTTTTATCGTATCACACACCGACTGGTGTAAATTTAGACAATAACTTGTACGTGTTTTATACATGCTATACGTTTTTTTTTTATAAATGTTATACACGCTTTATACTTGTTATACATATTTCATGCATGTTATATGCATGCTATATATGTTTCATATATGTTATATGTATTTTAATCATTTTATATCCATTTTATACATGTTATACATGTTTTATGCATGTTATATGTGTTTTATATAAGTTAATCATGTTTTTATACATTTGATACATGTTTTTATTCATGTTATATATGTTTCATACATGTTATACCTGTTTTATCAATGTTGTACATGTTTCTATACATGTTATACGGATTTTATGCATATTATACGTATTTCATACATGTTATACATGTTGTACATGTTTTTTATACATCCTATACATGTTGTACATGTTTTTATACATGTTATACATGTTTTATACATGTATTTTACAAGTTATACGTGTTTTATACATGTATTTTACAAGTTATACATGTTTTATACATGTATTTTACAAGTTATACATGTTTTATACATGTATTTTACAAGTTATACGTGTTTTATACACGTTTATATGGGTTTTTATAAATTTTTATACAAGCTATACATGTTTTTATACATGTTATACGTTTTGTACATGTATTTTACAAGTTATACATGTTTTATACATGTTATACTTGCTTTTATACATTGTATGTGTCATATATAGGTGTTATGCATGTTTTATATATATTATATATGGCTTTGTATACATATGGGCATATAAAAAAATTTTACAACAGGAAAAAAAACAAGGAATCAATGTAGAAACGGGGCAACAGCTCGTCGTTTAGTATGTTCGGTGAACCACATAGCAAAGATGGCGGCCCCCCCGATTGAACAGAGGAGAACTTGTAGGATGTGATCTCTGCAACTTTAACATATTTCCCTGTGTGATGACCAAAGCAGCCCTCCAGGCTTCCGTTAAATTTCATTCACTTGAACATACACATTCCAGTCATGATGGTCGCCCCTCTGTTGTCTAATGCTGAGGATGACTGATGATGTAGAAAAAGTGAAAGAGCTGAAGCTCTAACCCAATTCTGCCAAAGTGCCGTCCCACCAGAACAGGATAGAAATAGCTCCATTCTGGGTCAGTCTTTAATAATTTCAGAACCGAGAGCTTCCTTCTCTGGACCTGTTGAAATGATTCTTTGTTTTCTAATTGGATCATCATTTTAATGTCATAGCTTATTTTTCTTTACCTTAACAAAGACTTTTAAAAACTTTGAGGTTTGTTTAAAAAATGTGTTATTTATGACACTACACTTCTGTTGAATTAAAATGGAGTCACTCTCACTTTTTCTGAACAAATTTGCCCATCAGAGTCCTTGAGGCCCCTGATATGCCCCGTAATGTGAGCTGCACATTAATTTGAGGCCTACTTACTGTAGCAACAAAATGTACCTCCTGACCTAAAGTTGTCCTTGCCCTTGTTAGAGTGATTTCTGGTCTCTTTCCACTAACAGACCAGGACGCAGCAGCAGATACCCAGAAATGGCTCCAATAGAAATATTTTATACATCCTAACCTTGTGAGTGGACATGTTGAGCTGCTTAATTCGGCACTGATTTGTGCCTGTTTCCCTGCAGTGGATACGGACGGAAGGAAGCTGAAAGGAGGCATCCAGAGGAGCACTGAGACGGGATTGGCTGTGGAGATGCCCAGCCGGACCGTCCGCCAGGCCAGCCACGAATCCATAGAGGACAGTATGAACAGCTACGGCTCTGAGGGCAAGTAAGTACCAAAGATAACAAAAACAGTAGCAGCCATTCAAAATGGCCCTTCCTTCTTCCAGCCATTAGAGTGACCCCCTCCTTCTCCTGGGCTTGCATATTTTTACTCTGACTCCACCCTTTCACTGAATTACAGGGTCTGACCAGGAGATGGCGCTTCTCTTTAGATCTTAATATCCACAAATCTTGACCGAAAAACATTTTAGTATAAAGACATGTTTGAAAAGGAATCTTAGGGGATGAGTAGTAGCTGTAGCTGAAAACTCAATCAATCAATCAATCAATCAATCAATCAATCAATCAATCAATCAATCAATCAATCAATCAATCAATCAATCAATCTCTATGCAACTGCAAAATAGTTTCATTTTTTGTTTCTTTTCTAAATTCAAGCGTAATGTTTTCCACTAGTGAACAGCCCTTGAAACAGATTTTTCACAGCCAATTTGCTTTATTTCCATAATAAACACGGCGCTCACTCTTTGATTGACATCCACAATGTCAAGTTAAAACAGGCCAAAATCAGGTAAGTGTAGCATATCTGTAAAAAACAGTATACTATATTTTAAATTAATGCAAATGGATCATAACACATAAGGTCAATAGGCTAGTTCTCAGAAGATAGGTACGACTCATGAAACAGCAGACAGAGACTAGAAGTTTGCAGTTGCGAGTGCCTTGTATTTATAGTGAGGAAAATTTTATACATATTTACAACATCAGTGAATCATCCTAATGGCCATATAAAATGTGCAGAAAAAAGAAAGAAAACAAAACAATAAAGAGGAAAAAGAAAAAGAAAATTAATCAATTTCACAATTAATGAAACCACATCCCTTCAGTCCATTCACCCCAAGCTGGGGTTGATTAAAGGTCCCAAGCAAATTCTTTCTAAAGTGCTTGGTGCCGTGCAGGTCGTGGACTGACAAAAGTCAGAGCAGAGTGGAAACTAAATTGTTCGTTGGCTGCAAGGAGCCTCCTACCAGCCTGGGAGGATATCCAAAGTCTTTGTGCACCCAAAGTGCAATCTTTCTTGGGCTCTAGGCCTGGACCTTCAGCTCGCCATCAACACCTGGCCTGAATAATAAAACAGGACCATTTTCTCAATATATATATATATATATATATATATATATATATATATATGTATATATATGATCAAAACATTCTAGTGTGCACACAAATTCAGTTAGTGGTACTCCTTGCACTACAAATAATTCCAAACAATAATTTTCAATCAATATGCATATTCAATAAATATAAAGTTCCATATAAATTACATTCATGAAAAATCCAATAAATATGCACTATATAAATTAGTCAACATGAAATGTTAAAACAACTAATACAAACAAGTGCTCAATAAATATTTAAGGCACCTCATAGTCCACATAGGGTTCTTCAAAGCTAGTCTGGGCATTTGTTTGTATAATCAGCAATTTAGCAGCTAGACAACAAACAAAGACATCAATGAGCTAAAATTAAGCCACACAAGAGAAACACTCACCAATTCCATAGTTTGTATGTAACACAAACAGGGTTTTTCATTTCATCTCGGTTAAGTAGTTAGCTCCTGCAGCTCTGCTTCTCCCAACATGCCATAGTCTTTCATACTTCCCCACTCCAACTAATATACCTAACTGATAGGCTGTTGCACATGTGACCCTGATACTCAACAGCAATTGGCTGTGTAGCAATGAGGGGATGGAAGTGAAAAAAAAACACACAGAATGATCACTGGAATCTTTCTCCATTATCCAAACATGTAAATGGAAAATCACTGGGATTTACATCCGGGTTACATAAGCTCCTCCTACGTGAATATGTCGTTAGCCATGCAGCAACAGCACCAGAAACACATTTGGTTCTAATGCACCAAATCAGATTCCTGTAGCGGTTGGCCAAAGACGCTAAAGTATCATAGCATGCTGCTGGTGTTACATTGTCTGACATGGTTATGGAATCTACCAAACTCATGAACGCTGCTCAGATTCAAATGGAAATGTGGTAAAAGGAGGTTTAACCTGAAGAGAAACATGGATCAGTTAATCGGTGGCTTCAGGGCCCAGAGGAGCTAGAAGATCCAGCTTTCTCTCCGGGATCTTTTAGTGGTGCTGGTGTTTTTTTATTTATTTTTTTATTTCATTATTCTCTGCTGCATGCAAATCATTTTTCTTGCCTACTAATTAAAGCAGCATGGAATAATCAATGGATCATTATTTATACCTAAAACTGATATGTTCGCGGTGATTTAATTGATATAGTGTTAATCAGTAAAAAAATTTAAATCATAATTTTTTGCCCAAATATAATAACACATCACTCCTACCAGCGCTAAGCTTACCGCACGGTGACATCACTGCCGGAAGATGGCAGGAGTGAGGTGTTACTACGTTTGGGAAAAAATGGCCGCTCCTGGACTCAGTTGTTGCGATGAAAATGATTGTTTTCATTTTTTCTGCTGATTAATGCAAAATTCATTAAATTAATGTGAACGTTGTAGGTATAAATAAGGATTCATTGATTATTCCTTGCTGACCGGACTTTTCCTTTAAGTCATCATGCCTAATTGTATTGTCACCATGTCTGAAAGCTGTCGTTTTCGGTTCTGCCATTTCCAAAGCTAATTAAATCAGCTTCATTTCCGTTACATTGATTTTCAAAGCCCTGTGTGAATTTCCAATTACATAAACATAGATTCAGTCAGAGAAAAGATAAATTCCCTACCTGATGGCTGCTGACCTTCTGAGTTCATCCTGATTAAATGAATGGATGTTTGCCGGTTTGACTTTGAGCTGAAGTGATACGGAAGGTCCACTGAAAGTTAGAAACTCAGAAATGTTTATTTAAAAGTCCCATGTTTGTGGCGTCCTTCTGGTGCCAGCTCATTAATGATAACATAGTACTACTACACATCCAAACACATGCAGCGCTCCATCAGCCTGCTTCCAGCCAAATATTAACAGTTATATAAGCAGACGAGGCAGGCAGACTGACTGATGCGTGCTCCGAGGGTGTTAATAGAAACAAGGGCTGCTGGGAAACAGAAGCAGAGAAAGACTCCATGTTCCCTTCCATAAATCTGGAATGAAACACTTCCATTTGAGCTACAAATGAATCAGCAAAATGTAATCTAAACCTGTTTACTGAGAGGGTATGATAACAAATGAAACAGATGTTATAGATTGTTTTATTTCGTTCTAACTGGCTGAATCTAGGCAAACGGATATAAAAAAAAAAACTGAAACAGAAGAAGAAGGAGACATCAGAGGACAGGAAGTATCCTGTATCAGTTTAGTTCTTCTGAGCTCATGGCTTCAAAACATCCTGAATTACCGATATCCATCACAGAAGGAGCAGAAAATCATCATCATCATCATTCAGCCTGTATTAAATCAGGAAAGTCACCATGAGATCAGCAATCTCTTCTTGAGGGACACCTGGGAAGTTCTACTTATTCTGTCAGATGCGACGGGATGAACAGAGTTTGCTTCTGTCCACACGAAGCCAGACGCCAAGGGCCACCACAAGCCTCCTCGAGGTGGGCCCCTCTTTACCTGCCAAAAATACACTCACCGGCCACTTTATTAGGTACCCCATGCTAGTAACGGGTTGGACCCCCTTTTGCCTTCAGAACTGCCTCAATTATTCGTGGCATAGATTCAACAAGGTGCTGGAAGCATTCCTCAGGGAGTTTGGTCCATATTGACATGATGGCATCACACAGTTGCCGCAGTTGGACATGGTCAGCAACAATACTCAGGTAGGCTATGGCGTTGCAACGATGCTCAATTGGTACCAAGGGGCCCAAAGAGTGCCAAGAAAATATTCCCCACACCATGACACCACCACCACCAGCCTGAACCGTTGATACAAGGCAGGATGGATCCATGCTTTCATGTTGTAGACGCCAAATTCTGACCCTACCATCCGAATGTCGCAGCAGAAATCGAGACTCATCAGACCAGGCAACGTTTTTCCAATCTTCTATTGTCCAATTTCCATGAGCTTGTGCAAATTGTAGCCTCAGTTTCCTGTTCTTGGCTGAAAGGAGTGGCACCCGGTGTGGTCTTCTGCTGCTGTAGCCCATCTAACTCAAAGTTCGACGTACTGTGCGTTCAGAGATGCTCTTCTGCCCACCTTGGTTGTAACGGGTGGTTATTTGAGTCACTGTTGCCCTTCTATCAGCTCCAACCAGTCTGGCCATTCTCCTCTGACCTCTGGCATCAACAAGGCATTTCCGCCCACAGAACTGCTGCTCACTGGATGTTTTTTCTTTTTCGGACCATTCTCTGTAAACCCTAGAGATGGTTGTGCGTGAAAATCCCAGTAGATCAGCAGTTTCTGAAATACTCAGACCAGCCCTTCTGGCACCAACAATCATGCTACGTTCAAAGTCACTCTAATCACCTTTCTTCCCCATACTGATGCTCGGTTTGAACTGCAGGAGATTGTCTTGACCATGTCTACATGTCTAAATGCACTGAGTTGCCGCCATGTGATTGGCTGCTTAGAAATTAAGTGTTAACGAGCAGTTGGACACTGCTCGTTAACACCTAACACCTAATAAGGTGGCCAGTGAGTGTAGATCATCATGGACTTCAGGAAGAACTGTCCTAACCACGCTCCACTGGTCATCAACAGTAGAGGTGGTCAACAGCACCAAAAGCACCAAAAAACAGTTAAAGCAAATGTATTTAGTTTCACATCATCAAATACAGTTTTAATTAACACCATGATTCAGTCTGGTCATTTCAAATTCAATTCCTGATATTTAAAGTAAGTCTTTGCCCATATGGAGTGGAGTAAACGTCACTATTTACCAGTAAAATCCTTTTGAAATGTTCCAATAGTTCTTTGTTAAACTACAACTAAAATGTTGAAACAGCAGAAGAAAATAGTAGTTTTACTAACATCGTTGTTCTGCCTTAATTTTTCCACAAAGGAACAACTGGTTGAAAACAGCAAATTAAACTTAAACAAAACCTTGTTTCATAAAAG